GGGTTGGCGCGGGATCGGGCAGTGTTTCGTTCTGCTGTGCATGGGGTCGCTATGAGTCGGAAACGACTCGACGGCACTTAACAACAACAACAACAACAACAATGGGGGTGCTCTGATGGCATAGTGCTTAAGGCATTTGACTGCCAATCAGAGGCTGGAGGTTCAAACCCATCAGGCACTCCTCGGAAGGAAGGATGGACAAATCTTCTTCCATAGTGATACCTACTCAGAAACCCAAGGAGGGTTTGCTATGAGTAGGACCCAACTCAATGGCAGTGAGTTTGGTTTTGGTTTTTTAATGGAGGTGCAGTGGTTAACATAGTCAGCTGCTACCCAAAAGCTGGACAGTTCAAACCCACCAGCCACTTTGAGGGAGAAAGATGAGGCAGTCATCTCTAAAGATTTACAGCTTAGGAAGCTCTATGGGGCAGTTCTAGTTCTACTCTGTCCTACTGGTTTGCTATGAATCAGAATCAACCCAACGGCAGTGGATATCTCTATTAAATACATTTGTGTTATGGACTGAATTATTAAAAAAAATAATGTGTGAACTTGGTTATGCCATGATTCTCAATATTATGTAATTTTCCTCCATTTTATAATCTATTTATCCTATATGTTTTAAATCCTAATTTCTATGATGTTATTGAGGCAGGATTATAGGCAATTACGCTATAAGGCAGGACACAATCCACCAGATTGAGTTTAATATTGAGTCAACCTCTTTGGAGAGTAAAAAAAGATTAAACAAGTGAGCAGAGAGCAAGGGACCTCAGTACCACCAAGAAAGAGCTGGGTGCAGGGTACATCCTTTCGATTGGGGTCCCTGTGCTGAGAAACTCCCAGACCCAGGAGAAGATTGATGCCAAGACACAAAGAGATATCCAAGAGACACTGAGCCAAGCCCACAGATGCTGAAAGGAGACAAGGACCTTTACTCAGAGCCAACAGAGAGAGAAAACCTTCTCCCTAGTGCTGGTGCCCTGAATACGGACTTTTAGCCATCTAAACTGTGAAAGAATAAATGTGTTTGCTAAAGCCACACATTTAAGATACTTCTGTTACAGCAGCACTAGACAATCTATAATTTGAAACTTTCCAAACAGGAAGTCACCAGGCCCAAATGGCTGCATAAGTGAAATCTTCCAAAAATTTAAGGAAAAAATGTCACATTATACGTTGTTGTTGTTGTTGTTTGCCATCGAGTTAGCCCCGACTCATAGCGACCCCTCCTTGGGTTTCCGAGGCAGTATCACTACGGAAGTAGGATTGCCCAACCTTCCTTCCGAGGAGTGGCTGGTGGGTTTGAACCGCCAGCCTTCTGGTGAGCAGTCAAGTGCCTTAGGCACTATGCTACCAGAGTTCCTGTCACATTATACAGACCTGTTTAAACAGAAAAGTAAGGAAGACTTCCCAATTCCTTTTATGTAGCCAGCATAACAGTGAAGCCAAAACTTGACAAGAACATTACTGAGAAAAATATTGCATTCCAATCTTTCCCAAGAGATGTAAGAAATCCTTAACAAACTACTAGTAGGTTTAATCTACTGATACATAAAAAGAGTAATACATCACAACCAAGATTAACTCAAGGACACACGATTAATTCAAGGTTTAATAATCAATCAGTGTAATTTACCACATTAATAAGAAAAATGTGAAAAATCATATGACTATCTCAACAGAGTCAGAAAATGACTGAATGAAATTCAACACCCATTCATGTGAAAATGCTTAGCAAATCAGGGATAGAATAGCAAAAATCATCCTTAATCTGATAAAAAGTATTGACCAAAACCTAGTTTGTTTTGTTGTCGTCAGATGCCTTTAAGTTGATTTTCAACTCATGATGACCCCATATGACAGAATAGGGTTTTCTTGGCTGTAATCTTCATGGGTTGACAGATCTTTTCCTGCTACACAGTTGGTCGGTTCCAATCATCAACCTTACAGATAGCAGCTTAACTATTTGTGTCACCAGGGCTCTGTAAATTACCAAATATTTAATGCTTTTTGCCTGAAATTCCCTTGAGTAGACGTACTGATAAAACAGTGCATTTTTGTTTTGTGTACTTTTCTACATGTGTGGGATATGACAATATATCCTTGTGTAGCTTCAAGAACTCGCAGTACATTACCAGCTGTGATTCTCCACTGAATTTTTTTTTTTTTTAAGGGAGCTCAAGGTCACATGAAGAAATGGAAGGAACAATGAGCAGCCCTGTTGAGAAGGTGGTTTAAAGACTTCATTGCTGTAGTTTGGATTAACTCCCCTCTGGCCTCTCCCCATCCCAAACTGCATTTACAATTTTGTGACTGAGGATCATTTGTTTGTTAATGTACTATGCCTTTAACTTTAGACAACTTTTTATTTTGATGTCCTGTGGGGTTTGTGGGAGCTCATGTGGCATAGTGCCTAAGGCTGGCGGTTCAAACCTACCAGCTACTCCCGGGGAGGAAGGCTGGGCAATCTCATAATGATACCGCCACCTCGGAAACCCAAGGAGGGGTCGCTATGAGTCGGGTCCCACTCTGCGGCAATGGTTGTGTTGTTGTTGTTGGCTTAGTAATGCTCAAGATATCAATTATTCTGACAAAATAAATTTACTTAAATTGGGCTGAAAAAAAAAAAAAGTTTGCTATCCAGTCGAGTCCGACTCATCACAACCCTACAGGACAGAACAGAACTTCCCCGTAGGATTTCCTAGGTTGTGATCTTTACATGAGCAAATCACCAAGTACTTTTTTCCACAGAGCCACTGGTGGGTTTGAGCTGCAGACCATTGGGTTAGCAGCCAAGAACTTAAAACACTGCACCACCAGGGTACATTGTTGTTGTTGTTGTTTGCCGTCGAGTCAGCCCTGACTCATAGCGACCCCTCCTTGGGTTTCCGAGGCAGTATCACTACGGAAGTAGGATTGCCCAACCTTCCTTCCGAGGAGTGGCTGGTGGGTTTGAACCGCTAGCCTTCTGGTGAGCAGTCAAGTGCCTTAGGCACTATGCTACCAGAGCTCCTTGCACGGTACATAGCAGACACTTAATAACTATTTCTTGAGTGAATTAATGAATCATCTCTGTCTAAAAGATCAAAAGGAAAAGCCCTATTTAATACTGATTAAAAACAAACCCCTTCGTGTTAATAAGAAGTTATTTAAAATTTAAAAAAACAAAAAAGCTATGCTTGGAATCAACTTGACAGCAACGGGTTTAGTTTTGGGGTTTTGCTGTTGAAGCCAAATTTAATCAAAAGACCATCTCATGAAATATTATACATCTAGGACATCACTAAAAACTTGTTGTAAGGCTAATTATTTCCACCAAAATATCACACTGAAGGTAAAAAGAGAACTTTTGCTACTTATCTTTTTTTCCCTTTAATCTACTACTGCTAATGAGAACAGCTTATGATACATCATGTATTTCCTAAATATAACCTTCATGAATGAAAAAATCTGTAGAATTTAGAGATATACAGTTAACCTCAAACTACTAGATATAAGTAGTTTGCTTGAGTAGAAACACACTGCTGTGGAGTCGGACCCGATGGATTTGAACTGCAGACACATCACCTATGCCAACTTCTGTACATAGACTGTTGTTGTTGTTGTTATGTGCCGTCGAGTCAGCTCTGACTCATAGCGACCCCTCCTTGGGTTTCCGAGGCAGTATCACTACAGAAGTAGGACTGCCCAACCTTCCTTCCGAGGAGTGGCTGGTGGGTTTGAACCGCCAGCCATCTGGTGAGCAGTCAAGTGCCTTAGCCACTATGCTACCAGAGCTCATAGATTACGAGGTATAAAATACCAGAAAGTATTAACTTCCTCAGAGTTCACAAACAAATCGGGAAGGCAAGTCCTTCATCATCACTTTTGCACAAAACAGAAAGCACTTATCTACAAATATTGTTACTTCCTTGTTGGTCCAAGTGAGATTTCTTACCAATGCCCATAAAAACTTATTCCTACACTCGCTTCACCCTCAAAGATCCTCATCAGAATCCTCAAGATACTTAAAGTGAACAACTTCTAGGAAGATATTTCATCAAGTCCACAAGCTTCAAAAGTTGTCTCCAATGACGCCCACATCTCCATGTACCACTATATAAAAAAACTGTATTTAGAAAATAAAGTGAAGTATCTAGTTGCAGAATTTATTTCTTCCCCTTAAAGTACTGGTAGTAAAGGGAAGCTCTCCTTCAAAAAGTGTCCTGTTGCAATGGACTAAAAAAGGGAAACTGATTGGTTAGCCACAGTTGCCCTACTTCCATTTCAGTTCCAAGGAAAAATTTGTTCCACCGAGTGTAGCAAGGGGGGGCCATACGCAAATCAAGAGGGTAGATGCCAAAGAGAATTTTCTGATCGTCACTATTTAGGCGAAAGGTGATCGGATTTAGACGGGGGATGGGGGGGAGGGGTGTTGGTAGGGCTGACCTATCCAAATGTAACTTGAGAAAAAAAAGGTCCATTTCACTAGGCAATGAAAGCTGAGGGAAGGAAACAAACCCGCCAGGCCAAGCGACAAACCCAGGATGCTGACCGAGCTCGGAGGTGGAGGGCCCTAAAGGCCGGGACCGACGAAGGGAGACGTCGGGCAAATCATAAGGGAACAGGAATCAGACGCAACGAGAAGAGACAGACGCTGTCACAAAGCAGGGAGTAAGGGGACACCAGAGCGGGAGCAAAGAGTTACGAGGCAGCAACAGCAGGAGAGACCACTGCCAGGGGCGACAGGCAAGTGGCAGCTGCGAAAGGCGAGGCTCGAGCAGCTGGAGGCGGTGGGACTCTGTTGAGTCAGCACAGCTCGTGCTTAGGGAGCACTTGTAGGATCCCCACTGCTCCTCGGGCCCCGGAGCCCGCAGCGTAGGTCGGAACCCCCAGAGAAAAAGGTGATGTTTTTTAATAGGCTGGCGCTAGCCCCTGCCCCTTCCCCGTTTCACAGGTAAACACTGGCCGCCGTCGCCGCTTACCTCTGTTAACATTATTACATCCCGGGGAATTAAGCTCCTCCCTAGCCTCGCCGCATGGCAACAGCCGTAGAAGCAGCGAAAACTGCCCAAGCCGCCGCCAACGGCGGCAAATACTCTTTCAGTCCTTTCCCGGGCGGTGGCTTTACTCGACTTCGCTGGCTTCCCCACGGCCCGACTACTCGCGACGGACGCGCAGCCATCTTGGAAGAGCGACGTCCGCGTCTCCCTGCGACGTGCGCTCCCATTGGCAGGCTTTGGAGCCGCCGGCGTCTCGTGACGGTCTCCATAGCGCCGGCGCGCAGACAGACTGAAGTGGGCGCTCGGCCGCACGCTGGGCGCTGGGGGCCGGGCCCTTGGGGCTTGGCACCTGGGAAGACGTGGAAATGTCGAGAGCTGAGGAAAGCATCTTGAGGGTGGCGCACAGAACCTGAGAGTCGGCGCGCATACCCGCTGGGGCCGGTTATCCACCTCCTCACGCTGGGATCTGCTGGCGGTGGGGGAGGGCCGGGACCGGCAGGGGCCGAGCCTTAGACTGATGGCGCATCGGACCTCGCGCGTCCGGAGAACAAGGCGACCCAAGTCCTGTAGAAAAATTTCTCCCTAGCATTTTCCTGGCCTTCGGCTATCAAAAAGGACGTGGGGAGGTTTGGCTTTCTTCACGGTCTGGGACTTAAGTGTGATCTGAAACAGCTCCCCGCAGGCCCTCTCTCCTTCTAAAGTTTGCCTGAAACTTTTATCCTTACCAATTCGTAGTGAGTTCTCTACAATAGTGTGTGACAGGTTGTAGATGCGATATGGGCATATCGGTTTTACCCCATCCTACCAGAGTTAGCACTGTCGCTGGCCGACTCGACGGCACGTAACAACAACAGAGTTAAAACTGTCGCTGATTAGCCAGCACAACATAGCAATGAAGGCCTAGTTTTGCTTCAAGTAAAAGTGGCTTTTTCTTTTGAAAGGCTGTCTCTACGACTTTACTGGTTTCTTTATACAGTTTGTGTTTCAGAATGAAATTGCAGCAGATAACATTGTGAATAGGAGCTCAGGTGGCGCAGCGCATAAAGCACTTGACTGCTAACCAGAAGGCTGGCGGTTCAAACCCACCAGCCAATCCTCCGAAGGAAGACTGGGCAATCTACTTCCGTGTGATAGCCGACTGGAAAACCCAAGGAGTGGTCACTATGAATCGGATCTGACTGGATGGCATGTGAGTTTTGTTGTAGTTGTTTTGGGGTTTTTTTTTTGTCATTGTGAATACGCAACAACGCAACGCACTGCGGTGGAGTCGGATCCGACTCATAGTGACCCCTCAACAACGGAAGTTAGTGTGCATGGAAGCCCAAGGCACGCCATTTTGAATCTACCCCTGGTTAGGCTACAAAATGCCGAATTGGAGGAAATCACTTCCCCATAAAATGTTCGGGTTTACCCGAACGTGTTGTCAAAATGATGTGTCCTGTTTTATGTTAAAAAATGTAAATTCCAAGAAAATTGAAGAGTAAATTTTCAGACAACACTTGCAAAACCCATTACGTTTTCACAAGGGTTACAGAGGCATTTGGGGAAGCTAAAGACAGTAGTATTTCTTTTACTAGAGCCCACCCCCAGTTTCCCATGGTATTATCTCCATGTTGTTGTTATTTCCCATCCAGTCGGCCCCGACTCATAGCCACCCCTCCTTGGGTTTCCGAAGCAGTTATCACTACGGAAGTAGGATTGCCCAACCTTCCTTCAGAGGTGTGACTGGTGGGTTTGAACCGCCAGCCTCCTGGTTAGCAGTCAAGTGCTTTAGGCACAATGCTACCAGAGCTCCTATTATCTCCATAGTGCTTTCATTATGGTGAAAAATGAAGACTAAAAAGTTACTCTCAAATTCTCAAAGCAGAAAAAGTAGGGCCATTACAAACCTGTTGTTGTTGTTGTTTGCCGTGGAGTCGGCCCCGACTCATAGCGACCCCTCCTTGGGTTTCCGAGGCAGCATCACTACGTAAGTAGGATTGCCCAACCTTCCTTCCTAGTGTTGTTATCTATTCCTTTTGTGTCCTCATCAAGGACGAGAAAAAATGATTCACTTAAGCAGTCATACAGAAATTCAAGAAAAATCCTGATTTTGTTCAATTCACCTAATTGAGGCAAAGTAATTTTTTGTTGTTGTTATTTTAATCTACATCTTACAAATAACTTCCACAAATTTATATTTTGCTGGTCCAGCAAAATTCTGACCTTTGTGTAACACAGTAAAATGTGTTGCTAGTATTGACAGATTAAGCCATAAAAAGGAGATAAGATTGGAAGATATTATCTGGACCAATGTATTAAAAAACTAAGACAGTAGAGACAGGAAGGAACCTGGAAAAAGATACTGTTACAACCTGTAAATAAGAAATCAGAGAAGGAGGTTCGTTAATATTTAAGATACCAGCTAGTGAATTAAAACTGTAATTTAGGTATCTAAACCATGTATTCAAGTTTCTTTCCCTTTCCAGAAGCAAGGCATTTTTTTTATTTTAAAACTGGTAAATTAGATGTCCATCATCTATCTATTAGTTTGTGGTACGTGGCTGGAATGAAGTTATGATGCTGATAGCTACGCTGCTGGTATTTGAAATACCAGCAGCCTTATCCATGCTGGACGAGTTTCAGCACAGCTTCCATACTAGGCCAGAGGAGGAAGAAAGGTCTGGTGATATACTTCCAAACATTAGCCAGTAAGAACCCTGTGGATCACAACAGAATGTTGTCCAATACATAGTGCTGGAAGAGGAGCACACCCCCCCCCCAGGTTGGAAGGACTCAAAAAACACAGTAGCCACAACAATGGACTCCAGCCTACCAGTGATCATGAAGATGATATGGTGCAGGACTGGACAATGTTTCTATTGTGTGTGGAGTCACCATGAGTAAGAGATGACTAAACAGCAACTAACAGCAATGACAAGTTAAATGTGGACAAAACTTGAGGTTTGTACTAATTTGTCATATGACATGGATATGCTTTTAACATTCAGAAGTTTATAGACCTAGAAGCAAGTCAAACTTCTTAGCTCCTCCAATGGTTTCTCAGGTCCTTTAGCTGGAGTCTTTCCTGTGACCTGAAAAAATTTTATATTAATTGGCCTCCCAAGTCCCACCCCACCCTCCCACTCTCTGACCTCATTTATGTCAAGCACTCTTTTTTACCTATCCTAACCTGGTCCCTGCTTCTGTAATACCAATGTGTGATCTAGCCCTGGGGTCTTAACACTGACTGCTCTATCTGGAAAGGTCTTTCTGTAAGATACCTGCATAAAGCTAGGTCCTTCACTTCTGTCCATCTTTGCTCAAATGTCACCCTTTTCAATAAAACCTATGCCCACTATCCCATTTAAAATGTACCCTTCTCCCAGCATCCTCCCTTTTCTTGTTGCAGTTTTTTTCATAGCACTTACATCTAACAATCACTATTTTTCTACCTTAGTAGCTATCTTCACTCCACTGAAATGCAGACTACACAAGGTCAGAGTTTTTTCGTTTTGTTTTGTTTGGTAATGTTTCCTCAGTATCTAGAATATTAGAATAGCACATGGCACAGATGTGGTGGTGGTTTGCCATCCAGCCGATTCTGACTCGTCACAACCCTATAAGACAGAATAGAACTTCCATATAGGGTTTCCTAGGTCGTGATCTTTACAGGAGCAGATCACCAGGTAATTTTTTTCCACAGAGCCACTGGTGGGTTTGAACTGCTGACCACTGTGTTAGCAGCCAAGTACTTAAGCATTGTACCACCAGGGTACCCTGCATGGTATGTAGTAGACACTTAATAACTGTTTCTTGAATGAATTGATGAATCATCTCTACCTAAAAGGATCAAAAGGAAAAGCTCTATTTAATATTGATTAAAAACAAAGCCCTCTCTGTTAAAACATTAAATTGTTTTATAAAGTTGCATCTCTTATTTTTCATTATTGGGACATTACTTCTACTGTCACCAGAATACTAGAAAGAAGTAAGTGAAAAAATTATGAGCTTTGCCTTCCCCTTCACCTTACATCACTACTAGTATTTTCAAAAGGAGTAACAGGATAGGAGAAGGGAATGGAGGATAAAATATGTTGAAAACAAAATTTCTTAGACAAATCTTGAGCATGAGTCGAAGTCAATTTGCTAGCAAGGGAAGTATCAAAGGGAAAAAGGTGTGCTATTTCACAGCATTATGAAAATTGAGGTGTTACAGAGTAGAGAAGGAAAATGCTTACAGAAGCAGCTAGTGAAAAAAAAAAAAGGAAGCACCTAATTTGGTATAGATTGCAGTTTCACTCCATGTGGTCTTAAAAACAGCATATTCCTATCACTTGTGATAGAGGAAGCATGGACCGGATGATCTGAGATGCTGGGTTCTTTGGCTGTCATTGAGAAATCCAAAACAAAACAATCCATCTTAAGAAGCACATGATAAAGTTACAACTGTGCCTATTATTGGAAAAGGTTTGAATCCATCTTAAGAAGCACATAATAAGGATACATCTATGAAAGTCCGGGAAAAGTTACATTCTAGAGCATTCTACAATCTTTTTGATTAACACAGGAAAGGATTATAACAGAAGTCAGAGGCAGAAATCACATAACATGATACTTTTTAATAAGCCACTGCCAGTGATACCTTGTTGCCCATTTTTTACTTTTGAAACCACACATATTCAGGATGTTACAAATTAGCTATAATTCTTTTGAGATACTGGAAAAGAATGGCATCAACCTTCCAAGCAAACTGCATCTATCAAAAAGTTGTCACATTTAATCTTTATGTTTCTTAAGTCATATTAACTCTAGTTTCATAATAAGGCAATCTTATCAGTGTCATAGCATAGTGCCTAAGGCACTTGACTGCTAACCAGAGGGCTGGCAGTTCAAACCCACCAGCCACTCCTCGGAAGGAAGGTTGGGCAATCTACTTCCTTAGTGATACCACCTCAGAAATCCAAGGAGAGGTCCCTATAAGTCGGGTCCAACTCGACAGCACGTAAAAACAACAAACCAGTAAAAACAAAACCCACTGCCGTAGAGTCAATTCTGACTCATAACAACCTCTGTTGGGTTTCTGAGGTGGTAAATCTTTAGGGAAGCAGATTTCCCAGTCTTCCTTCCACAGAGCGGATGGTGAGTTTGAACCACCAACGTTCTAGTTAGCAGTCAAATACCTTAGGCACTGCACCACCAGGGCTCCACATTTAATCTTT